ATTATTTCTTTACTACTCCAGCAGCAAAAGTGTTTACAAACCCAATAAGCATATCCAACATTCATTAACCAATCAGCATCAAGCCTAGCGTATAACATCTTCTTGCTCCTTCGATCAGATCAGTATATTGCTTTTATTTTAGATGCTTATTCTTATTGGTCTAGTTAGTTTGTATCATTTATTTATAATTCCAGGTGTTAGTATGCTTGTCAGCAGGCTGCTGGGCCCGAGCCTTCCTCTATTTCCCCTTCACCATCATTTCATTCTTTAGCAATTCCGAAGCTCTCTCCATCCTTTCTGACGTTATCCTCGGCTTCTTTTATTTGTTTTTTGCTAGACACATGATTTGTATGTTCTGTGTCGCACGTCTCACGAGTCACATGTCTCAGGAGATTTGCGAGTTTAACCGATTTTTGCCTATTCTGCCCGCTCTATTACATTACAGTCACTACACCTTGATGCTGTGGCTGTTAGTCTCCCTCTACTGCCACATTGTATCTAATCCTTAATTCAGTTGTTTGTTCTTCAATTACTTATTTTAGTGTTAATTAAATAGTTCGAACTCATAATGTGCTTCCCCAGTGTTATAAATATTATTTAAGATACATTTTCGACTGTATGGATTTTTCAATAGAACTCTAACATGAGCCTAAAGATGTCCAAAGAACTTCTACTGATAAGCTTACTCTTGCAGCAGCTGCTGACTGTGAGATCCTCACTGAGAACCATTTTACATTTTTTGGGGGATAATTCAGTCAATAAAACAGTTTCTAAAGCAATTTTTGCAGGATTGACTTCTACACAGTCATTAGCTAACTGTGTAGCTTTAGCTATTTCTCAATCTAAGGGGTTGATTTAATAATATTAGAAAAAACCCAGTTGAAAATAAACTTCATTAAATGTTTTAGAATTTTGACTTGATTTAACATCATCCATATTATGATCAGCCAAACTTGATAAATGGGTCAGCTGGTAGAAATTTGTTGGATGCTAAATAAATACAAAATATAAATATATCGGAAACTAGATCAACTTGCACATTGAGAGAGGATTAGTATTTTTAAATGTGTTTATCAGTATTGGCTGGTTAGCGCTGTCACTGCCAATTAATTTGGAAACTCTGCTTCGATTACCAGTAAGTAATATATAACTGTAAGGTGCAGAATATGTTGGCATGATTAGTAATAATTCTCTCAGATGTGTAGTTCTAGATGTTTTTTTTTAAATTTGTTTGTACTTTATTGGTAATGATGCAATAATTATAGCAATGAACTTGGCAATGATAAAATATCCCCATTAACATACATTGCCCCTGCCATGGTCTGCACCATATTGATTATTGAGTATTGTGGGATATGGGGGGCATTTGTACAGAAAGAGCTGACCAGTCTCTAGTTTTTAATTATAGTGAGCAGCTGCTCTGTTTCTTAGACATGTTTCACTGTTTGGTAGACATGTCAATGAATCACCAAATTCGATGTTTCAATGTTTTCAAAGAAAAATATATGAATGGCTTTGACAATTTTCAAAATCACTCAAAGGTTTAAGTGATTCGAACCGAAATATATAACCAATTTCAGTTGATAGAAGTGTCTGAGTGTAATTTAGGCAAGGGTTTAACACTTTTTAATTTTATTATTTACATAGCGCCAGCAAGTTCTGTAGTGCTGTACAATGGGTGGACTAACAGACACGTAATTGTAACCAGACAAGTTGGACGCCCAGGAACAAAGGGGTTGAGGGCCCTGCACAATGAGCTTACATGCTAGAGGGAATGGGGTATAGAGACACAAAGTGTAAAAGTAGGGGTATTAAAGTAGATTGCAAGAAAAGTGTTCACTGAGGGCTTAGTAGGTTATTTTTGACAGTTGCAGGAGAGTGGTCAGGGTGTGGGGATGAAAAGCTGTTAAAAGTTTAATTGATAAGCTTTCCTGAAGAAGTTCGTTTTCAATGATTTTGTGAAGGAATGGAGTGATTTTCGGGTGAAAGTCTAACGTAGAAAGGAAGGGAGTTCTACAGAAAAGGTGTAGCCTTTAGCTAGCATTTTATATAAAGTTAAGATTTCAATAGTGTAGCGGATGGCATTGGGCTGTCCTCAGACTTATGTGTATTCATATGTGTTCCATTAAATTTTGCCATATGTATGTAACTGTATGCAGCCTTCGTCTGATTGTTCGGTAAAATCAATCCAGGTATTATGGGAGGGAAACTACCGAACAATCAGACCACCCCAGGAATAAGTGCACCTCCAATTACCGTTCGCAACAATGTTGCAAACGGGTAATTGGCAATCCGTGCAGTGTGTGCTTTGTCCTCTGGGTGGCCGCCATTCGGGAGACGAACACGTGGCGGCGGCCATCTTAAACTCCCGAACAGCGGTGTTTTGCCGTTGAGTGTCTGGAACCCAAATCAGATACTCAGTTAGGCAAGCACCGCTAAGACCTCCACACTACCGTCAATTCGTATAGGAACTACCGAACGGCTCCAGCGCGGTCGGTCTTTTTATTACCTCCAGGAATTTCCCGAACCCCTGGTCCGATCTGGGTGATTTTTGGATATGTGTCTCACCCAGATCAGGGCTACCAGGGAATGTAATATTTAAAGGGGTACCCCTATGTTTAGGGGTACATCCAGAAAACCAGGGAAACTGTGTCCTGCATAATGGAATTATGAGTCATACTAAGGGGAGGGGATGTGTGGGTGGCAACTCATGTATGATTGGTGTATTATGTAATTACTGTAAATCCCTCCCTTGCATGGGAGAAAGCTTTAAAAGAAGGTTGAGTGATTAAAAGTTCAGTTCTGCTCCTGATGCTGTGTGTCGTCCAGTCATTGGGATCTGTATGGGGATATTCGTGGATTACCTCGCTTGCTGTGATTATTATTCTATGGTATTTTATTATTTGTTCCTGAGCATCACTGGGATCTGTAGTGGAGTTAACCTGTGAAAGACCAGCTCTCCTCAAATAGCAAATGACAATAACCTTTTACATCCCCTGTCTGTCAATCATAAAAGCAGTAATATTACAGTGGAGATAAATTCAAGAGGCAAGCAATTGCTCAGAGCAGCTGAGACTCTGAGCTACACTGTGATAAAACAGTCCCAGAAACTCTGGTCCAAAGAAGAAGGCGGACGGCTTGCAAAGGCTGCAGACAATAAATCTTTTGGAAAAGGAAAACACAAAAATGACTAGACTTAGGCAGCAAACACTGGGTATAGGAGATACCCTCAAACTCTAAGAATAGACAGCATAAAATACAAAAAAACAGGTTACCAAAAAGATGTGAACAGATAGAATAATATAATAATAACAATATAAAAAAGTCCAAATATTCACAGTCCAAATATCGCAATCCCAGCTATTTCTGGATTCTTGGGGAATGTTGGTTCTTGGTTAAGGTGTTTGTAAATATATGTAGGGAGACACAAAATGACAAATAATAGTGCAGACTGTTTTGGCAGAACAATAGGACTAACAACAGTAGTATAAGAGGTAGCACTCACATGTTATGGAGCTTAAACTAGCTCTAAGTAAATTTGCTTACAGTGGCACAATCCCCACTGATGGAAATAACTTTTGAGGCAAATATCTCGATGTGCAGATAGGTATATGAAAGAAGAAGAAAATTTCTAATAGTGCTCACTGTAAACATGCAACACACATCACATGACACCGTCTGTCACTTACCTGAGTCTAGCGCCGATGTCCCTCGGTGCTGGCTCAGCTTTGTCCACGCTCCTCCTGACGTCCACAGGGGAAACCTAATGTACATGCACGGCAGTGGCCCTGCTCGCATTAAGATTTCCCCATAGAAAAACATTATTCAATGCTTTCCTATGGGGATTCCGGTGATGCTGGAAGTTCTCATGCATAGCGTGAGGACATTCAGGGGCGTTTAGGTGACCAAAAGTCGCCTATCCACCGGGAAGTCCCTCTAGTGGCTGGTAGACAACCACTAGAGGAAAAGTTAACCCTAGTAGGTAATTATTGCACTCGGAGTTTGCACTCGGAGTTTGCACCCAGATTACTATAATGAGTTGAAGTGGTCTGGGTGTCTATAGTGTCCCTTTAAGGTTCCTCTCTCAGAACTAGGATTTGTGAGCAATGTATTTCTTGTAAAAAAGAGAGATGGAGGTCAGGAGGAAGCCTTGTGATGGTTACAGATTAAATGTTGAAACAATTTTAGCTAATTCCCAGATGTTGTGATAGAATGCAACATCAGCATAGGTTGGAAAGATCGGTGCAGATTGTTTTCCTACATCAGGAAATGGTCACTAAATGAAATTTGTTTGCAAACTTCTTCATTCTCAGTTTTGCAAAGGAATGCACTCGCTTTTGTGTGGTTTTATCAGATACCAGGTTGAAACTTTTGGCGAGCATAGTCAAAGCTTTATGGCATTTCTGCCTAAATTGAGACATTGTCTGGGAGCATATCTGCCTATAAAAAACCATAGCAGATTGGGACTCTTGGTTCCTGATGAATTCCAGTAGGTAAGCATAATTTGATTTGTAAATTAATGAGAGTTATGAGGTTCAAATGTCCCCTTTGCTCTAAATAGAATTTCACCTGGGATGTTAATGTCACTCTTTGTAACTGAAATCTTGAGAGATAATTATTATTTACTGTATACCTGAAATTGTCTTTTAAACTTACTGTATCATGTTGTATTCCTTTCAAGTGACACTATAGTCACCAGAACAACTACAGCTTATTGAATTTGTTCTGGTGAGTAGAATCATTACCTTCAGGCTTTTTGCTGTAAACACTGTCTTTTCAGAGAAAATGCAGTGTTTACATTACAGCCTAGTGATAACTTCACTGGCCACTCCTCAGATGGCTGTTAGAGATCCTTCCTAGGTCATGGCTGCCTAAAATGCATCCAAGCATTCAGTGTGTCTCCTCCCTCTGCATGCAGACACTAAACTTTCCTCATTGATTCAATTCATCTCTAGGAGGAGATGCTGATTGGCCAGGGCTGTGTTTGAATCATGCTGGCTCTGCCCCTGGTCTGCCTCCTTGTCAGTCTCAGTCAATCCTATGGGGAAGCACTATGATTGGATCAGGCTACCACATGTCAGCAGACTGCTTGTTTTTCTAAGTCTAACAGCATGCAGGTTTACAGCTTCAGGCTTGAATACAGTAAGATTTTTACTATATTTATGGAGGCATGAGGGAACCTGGGGGGGCTAGATGGTGGTGTTAACACTATAGGGTCAGGAATACATGTTTGTGTTCCTGACCCTATAGTGATCCTTTCAAATATGTTTTTGGTGTTAAAGGAGCACTATAGTCACCTAAATTACTTTAGCTAAATAAAGCAGTTTTAGTGTATAGATCATTCCCCTGCAATTTCATTGCTCAATTCACTGTCATTTAGGAGTTAAATCACTTTGTTTCTGTTTATGCAGCCCTAGCCACACCTCCCCTGGCTATGATTGACAGAGCCTGCATGAAAAAAATACTGGTTTCACTTTCAAACAGATGTAATTTACCTTAAATAATTGTATCTCAATCTCTAAATTGAACTTTAATCACATACAGGAGGCTCTTGCAGGGTCTAGCAAGCTATTAACATAGCAGGGGATAAGAAAATCTTAATTAAACAGAACTTGCAATAAAGAAAGCCTAAATAGGGCTCTCTTTACAGGAAGTGTTTATGGAAGGCTGTGCAAGTCACATGCAGGGAGGTGTGACTAGGGTTCATAAACAAAGGGATTTAACTCCTAAATGGCAGAGGATTGAGCAGTGAGGCTGCAGGGGCATGTTCTATACACCAAAACTGCTTCATTAAGCTAAAGTTGTTCAGGTGATTATAGTGTCCCTTTAAAGTTTAATATTTAGCTTATAGACGATTTTCCCCTACTGGTTTTTCTTTAACTGTTCGTATACCTTTTCTGATCACCCTGATCTTTGTGTAGTCAGATGTGTTAAGGTATTTAAGCAAAGAACATCTCTAATCAGAAATTCTGAATTTTCTCAACTTCCCATTTCTTTTCATAAACATTTCCTTCCTAACCTCTCCCCAGGTCCCAGAATTTTTTTATGGGGTACCCTTTTAAGTTGAAACAGAAAACATAAAGCAGTAAGCAAATTAAACACCAGGGAATCAGACATGGTATATGTAGTCTGATTTCACTCAATGCAAATAAAATACTAATGAATAATTTGATCTAATTAGGAATAATTTGGCAATTGCTTGGCAGTTCTCTATGACAATGATGCTTTGCCTTCTCTTGATATTTTTTTTTTTAACAAGCCATTTAATAACTTTTACATGATGATTAGCTGAAAAGACTAATGTATAACACTAAAGCAAAAAAAAGTAATTGAAACATTAATTGTTTGATGTTTGACTGGGAAATAATTTTCTCAACCCATTCTATCATCAAACAGCAAATGCTAAATATAAAGGGAAAGATGGTGGGTTATCACCATTTGCTCTATGAATGCAAGGTCCTCATGCAGTGTCTATGCAAAATAAATGGAAGGAGAAGTTCCCTGGCTGTAGTTCTTTGCTTTCACTATTACAGGTTCAGGAATGCCAATTCCAGTTATCCTACTATAAATCCTTTGATTTGTGTGACCAGGAGTCCTCAAACTATTTGTCAACTTATCAATATATGCAATCTCTCTTTGTTTTAGGTAATGCATGCATAATGAAGGCATCAGGACCTAGAAAAGAGGTAAAAAAAAAATCATACTAGAAAAAACATTTGAGAATGTTTAATTCTACTGAGATAAGGCACATTTTTTATGTTAGATTTTTTTAAATGCTCTACTGCAGACTGCACCTCAGAAGACATATGGGTGTTTTATAGAACTTGTAACAGGAACATCTTCTGAGAGTGTCACTGACATTGAAGTCATTCTCTATTACCAATGTTGTGAGAATGTTTGTTTAATCTAGGTCATTTGCATATATCTGCATCTGTATTTGTACATCATCGTAAATTGAATAACCTGTTGCTGAAGGCTAATCCTTGTGCTGAAAAAAGTATTTAGGGTATTCTTGTCCCCTGAGCAGTAATGTTGTCTCTGTTATTTGGAGCAGCATGGTGACCAAATGACCTGTGTATTGAAAAGGTGACGCCCAGGTGGACCTTGTTGTTGGGCACAGGGACACAAAGTGTACAAGCCAATAAAAACAATGTGACAATGAATGACACTCCCACATGCAGTACACAAACCCTCCCCTCTGCCTGTGATAAATTAAGGCAGATAAAGTACTAACATAATCATCCCCAGGCATAAAAAAACCACACATTTTACAAAGTCCAATAAGTACCCAAAAATAGTTCCAGAGAATAAAGGATTGCAGCCAGACTAGTTCGGTAGTTTGCAAACGAACAAACTACCGAACGGAGTCAATAGTCTTACCCTGGAGCTTGTTCCCTTCATCTAGACGAATGATCTCACCAAACAGTGATGCTGAATAGAAACGAACGCAGACGATGATGGAAGTTCAGCGGTGTTCGGGAGTTTCTGTATCCGATTTCAGTTCCATGAGATTCATGCCCAAACACTGCTGCCTGCGTTCATGCAAACAAGATGGCCGCCATCTCGTGGTTGCTCATAGGAATTGCGGCCACCCAGACGAACAATTAGAACACTGCGGTGAGAAACGTTCCAAGTTGTTAATAGTTGTTAACAAGCTCCAGGGTGGTCTCTGTTCGTGCGGTTGTTCGGTAAACGAACCATAAAGTCCCAATTGCATGAACAGAGCCTGGTTGAAGTATATTAGCCAGTTCTATTGCAGGGGCCATAGTCACAGGGTAAAAGGCTGGCAAGTAGTCCCCTCCAAAAAACAGTGGCGAGGTCACTTTCGCCACAGAGACAAATAAAGAATTTTATAAAAAATTGAGAACAGAGAATGTATTTGTTTTAAATTTGGCACCTTCTCTTAACTAAACATAACCATATTGACTAGGTATTATTGCAGAACAAAAATAACAAGATACACTTTACCAAGATGGATAAAACTTGGCCATTATTATGTAATATGTTTTGTCAGGTCACTGTCATGTAGTCATGCAAAGATGCTACAGAATGACAGAAATCATAAGTTAAGGGTCAAACATATTCATTTTTTAAAATCTGTACAATGTGCTCTAACAAATTCTTCAATTAGTGCCTAAAATAACTTCAACACTAATTAAAAACACATGGGATTTATTTTGTAAAACATACAAGCTGAGGGGTCTTCATACAATGCCTCTTTCCCACAATGATACTGCCTAATTCACTGACTAAAACTGTTTCTAGATAGTTTAGAGAAGAGAAAGAAAATAAACAGGATAATGGGTGTCAGTGATTCTCTGTGAACAAACATAGCAACACGTATATAGTGTCATGTTAAAATATGCAGCTGCATACATACATGAAAGCCATCACATCCTGATTTTGGAAACACTCAAGACATTATTGGGGCTTTACATATTTCCCATGTGAGTAACTGGGAGAATACAACCTAAATCCACACTGTTACTGAAAGTATTTAATAAATGTGCAGGGAATCTCCAGGGTCTCAAACATACTTCAGTTAGACACAAGAATATTCACAATTTTACACAGTTCTGCTCTTAGAACTTTTATCTCATTAATAACAGTTCTTTATGCATAATATCCAAACAGAGATACTGGAATGTTCATAGCATTACAAACTGATACTCACCCAGAGACAGGACTCCAGATTGCACCATGGAAGCAGCTTTGCAGAGGACAACATACAGTCCATCTGAATGGATCAGAACCAACAGCTAGAAAACTATAGAAAAACCAAAGCCCGTCCTCAAACCTGTTCTCAAACCACTGTCACCATTTCAGATAAAAAGTCACTTGGTCTTCGAACAAAATGATGATGAATGATGACCACTTTGGTGGGCTCTTATTCTAAAATACAATAGAATATTTATTATATAAATCACTTGTTATGCGGGGATGGCCTAACTGACTCCAACCCTTAAAAACTATTTTTTTTAAATAGTAATTGCTGCACAAAAGGTATTGAAACCAACCAAACACTTGAGTGGCTATGTTTTCTTTCTACACTTTAATTGGTGATCATTTCAAATGTTATGCAAGCCTTTTACAGATTGTAGACTAAAATGTTTACATTTAAGATTTGACTCTGGATGTTAAATAGAAACCATAGTGTTAGGTATACAAAGTTATATTCCTAACCCTATAGCAACCCGTCCCACTCCCTTGTGCCCTCCCCTCCTGCGATGTAAAGCGTGAGGACATCCAGCATAATTTAAGCAGGAAGCATAATTTAGATGTTATCTGGTATGTGATAATATTTTATTTCACATGCTATAGAACATGGGTCCTCAAACTCCGGCCCCCCAGATGTTGCTGAACTACAACTCCCATGATTCTTTGAATTACATAGATAGCCAGAGAATCATGGGAGTTGTAGTTCAGCAACATCTGGGGGGCTTGAGTTTGAGGACCCCTGCTATAGAATCTCTATTGATATTTTTAATAACATGTCCAAATTCACTTTAACCAGTCGTTTGGTATGTCACGTTAAACATCATGGCTGTACACACTTTATCCAATTTGCATCTTCTGAAGTATATTAAACTAATAGCAGCATAACTTATAGGCATTTTAATTAACATAAAGTTTTGTGGTGGAATCACCATATACTGAATAATATCTCCTTGATTTGATATTCTTTGATGAGCTTTTCATATTATATATTATTTGTGGATAAACGTTTAAAACTATTGTTTTAAAAATGTAAAAATTTATGAAAAAGATGTTAATATATCTAAAAACATGAGTCATTTTAAAAGATTATCCAAAAATAACAAATCGATTGTAAAGCTTAGCCAAAATAATAGAGGCCTATATGTGATCCAAAATCATCCATACACTTTGTTCATGGTTCATATATTATGACAGCCTTACTGTGTAGCTCAAAGCAAAAAAATTGCAGAAATCTACAATGAGGTTTGCATTCTTCACAGCTCATCACATTGAAATTATTATTATTATGTTATTATTTATATAGTGCCAATAAATACCGCAGCACTTTACAGTGGGTGGACGAACAAACATGTAGTTGTAACCAGACAAGATGGACACACAGGAACAGAGGGGTTGCGGGCCTTGCTCAATGAGCTTACATGCTAGAGGGAGTGGGGTAAAGTGACACAAAACATAAGGATAGTATTAGACTAATGACAGTTGCAAGAGAGTATCAGTCGGAGCTATTAACAGTTTAATTGATACTCTTTTATGAAGAAGTGGGTTT